TGGTTAATATTCTATTAAAAGGCAACTTTTCTGTATTTTTCTGACTTTAATTTTTTTAAAGATAACTCTATAAACATAGTGCTTTTGAGAATTTAGTAAACTTGACCAATTCCAAAAAGTTGACATCAGTGATATGCAAATTAGATATAATAATGATGAACAATTTAATGAGAGCTTCGCACTCATCCTAATTTTAAAAAGAGTATCTCACATTCAAGGAACCTTCTCAGAAAAAATTGGTTTGAACATGAACCAGGGTTTCCGCTACGGTAGCTTTTTTCGCAAAATGCGAAAAGACCCCTCAAAAATGCTAAAATTCAACAAAGCATTTTCGCATTTTTGCTAAATGATTTTACTAAATTCCATTAAAAAAAAAGCTTCCGCGGAAAACCATGACGCTAACATCCATGAAAAAAACTTGATCTAACAAGAAGGAGAAAAAATCTAAATATCTTTAGCAAGAAGAACCATGACGCTAGCGTTCACGAAAACCAAAATGTTTTGATAAATAATAAATGTGTTTTTTTTTTGTTATAGTTATTCTTTTTGATATTCTTGTACATTAAGCTATTCTTTGTCAGATAACTTACAATACTTGTTTGATATAAAGTAATTTTATAAGCCTAATGGCATTTTAGCATTTTGCTAAAACTTTTTTTCAGATTTTAGCTTTTTTGCTAATGAATTTTTAGACTCAGCTTAAACCCTGACATGAACATATGAAGGAAAACAAAGCAGACACATAAAAATGAGAAGTACAATGGAATATAATATTTATGGTGCATCTATTTAATTTTGAAACACTGAAAAACGTTAATCTGTTAATATTTCTGCACAGTATCGAGTATTAATTTCATACTTTAGCAGAAATGGAAATAAAGCAGACATACAAAAACGTGAAGTAAATGGAATATAATAATTACTGTGCTAGTATTTTATTTTAAAATAATAATAAACGTAATTATGATGAAATTTCTGAAAAGAATCTAGTACTAATTTTGTACTTTAGCAGAAATGAAAATAAAGCAGACATATTAAAACGTGAAGTAAATGGAATATAATAATTACGGTGTTAGTACTTTAATTTAAAATAATGATAAACGTAAATATGATAAAATTTCTGCAAACAATCGAGTACTAATTTTATACTTTAGCAGAAATGAAAATAAGGCAGACATAAAAACGTGAAGTAAATGGAATATAATATTTACTGTGATAGTTGGATGTTAAAACAATGAAAAACGTAAAACTGTTTAAAATTTCTGCAAGAAATCAAAGTACTAATTTGACGCTTTTCAAGTACTACAATTTGCAAATAAGAGATTTAATTTCATCCCTAACATGAAACAAAACAGATCGAGGATCTAATTCCACGAAAATAGCTTCTAGCATTTCACATTTAGAAAACGAGCTTCTAGCAATGTGTGGAAATAAAAAAATAAAACTCAGGCTCTTATAAACTTTGAGCTAATATCCGAAGAGAGAGGAAAAAGGTAAATAGAACTATCTTTAACATCGAGTGAATAGTTTTGCTTGTTTTTGTTTTAATCGAAGTTTTCGACAGTTTTCTCTTATTTTTGTTCCATTGTTTCGCTTGTTGATAAATAAGTCGATAAAAACAGGTATTTCGGATCAATGAGACGCCGGAGTGGAACTCATAAACTGAAGAAAGCGGAAATTCTCCTATTTCCTAATCTATTTTAATTTTATTACTTTAATTTATTTTGTGCGAAATATTTTTGAGCAATGAAGCCAATAAACTGATACTAATGCTCATGAAAATATGTGTTGCCAATAAATCGTAAAAAAATGAATAAATAAATAAAATTATAACATTGAAAAAGTAAATAAAAAATGTGACTACATGCTATCCTTAAAATTTTAGTTAACCTTAAACACCAAAAACGGTGGCAGCTATAACTATTTTTTACAGTGCACGTGAAAGATGTGTTTCCATTTATAATAATGAAAGGTAGAGTTACAGTTACTTTGTGGCTCCCTTACAACTCCAGAACCATTTGGTACTAGAGAAAATTTTAGCCTTCGATCCTAGAAATGGTTAAAAAAATGTAAGCACTTATGCGAAATACTTTGGAAACATTAAGTACTAAGTGAGAAACTTCTAAAAAACAAATTTTTTTTGCTTTGTTTCAGCATTATGCAGTGTTACAGATTAAACTTCTGACAATTGCGCGTTATCAATGATTTAAAAGATAACATCAGTGGTGTTTGTCAGCTTATAGCTCTATTTTATCAAAAGCGATTATGAGTTAATTACATGTTCTCCGACAATTAAATACTTGTATGTGACGTCAACGTGTGTATCGATCCTAATTGGTTGTTGAAACGTTGCATTTGTTTATTTTAGCAATTGTTCGTTTAATTTTATTTCGAGTTAGCCTAGCTCGTCAAATATGTCTATTCTATGCACACGGTATAGAATTTCGATTTATAGCCTACTTCACACAAAGAAAGACACAAAGCCTTGTAGTACTTAAACAAATTATTATGCAAAGAAGTTGACAGATACACAAAACAAAAATAATTACGGTTTATATAAAATACATCAATAAATAATAAATATAGGTTAAATAAAAGAGATTGACAATAAAGAATTTTATTTTAACAGTTTTAATAAGTGATACGCCCTTACATTCAATTAACTTCACGTTAATTAGAATTCTAACTTATGCGAAGAAACTTAGAAAGCAATATCCTAAGTATTAACACGCCATCTTGTTCGTAAACATCCTGCTGGGGCTGAGGTTATAAGTTAGGGTCTGTGTGTCAGTAGACTTCTGGAATTGCAAGTACCCAAATATCCCTTTTTCATTCCTTATATAAAACAAAATGAACATGGAACATTTAGTAAGTAAATTGGAAAACTATATTAAACTACCTGATTATTTTCTATAAAATTACGCTATGAAACTTGTTTCTATAAACCTGAAGGTGTAAAAAGCAACAATAACTGAAATTAAAAAAAAGTTATTTTCTAAACTTTAAATTCATTTGAAAATTTCTTAATCGTGATAAATCTTGACTACGATGTATTGACAGCTATTATTTATCAAAAGCATTGTTATAGGTGCTCGATTATGATTAATATTGATTTAAGAATTCAAAACATTTCTTACGCCGTACGAAGAACCAGTATTCTATTATTGAAACTTATTTCCAATGTCCTGATAATAAGATAAGGTTTTTATGAATATGCAATAATTTTCTTAGTTAAAAATGCAATCTTCTTACATTTCTTATTCAATGAAAAATAAAAACAAATTTACGTACTTAACTTATGCAATATGCTTTAAAGCTATATATATTAGAAATTCCCATATTTTGTCTATGAAGAATTTTTTAAACATTAACTAATATATTTTGAATTGGATGATAAAATTTAAACTTTTAAAGAAATGACTTGCTTATTTCTTTAGTCAGCTGGCTTACCCTTAGATTTAACTAAGTGTTCAAATAACGATAAAAAATAATGTTTTTGAGGTACGGCTGAGGTATGTAAATTGAGCGTTATGCAGATTATTTTAGATAGCCACAAACTTTATAATATTTAAAAAAAATCACTGCAGTTCCTTAATACTCGTCAAAACTTTTATATTGCCACAACAACATAGTTTGGTTCACTAACGAGTTAATTAAAAAGTATAATTTCATAAAAGGATATTGGATTTTTTTTATTAGACAAATTAGCCATTACTAAAAAGTATAATTTCTAATAAAAGGATCTACATATATTTGTTGACCATTGTATTTTATTTACTAATTTAATTCATGCCGAATTTCTATTTTTAATTATATAAACTTTACTTTAATTAAAAATTTTAATTATAATTTAATTTCAATTATATAAAATACCAGCCAACTATTGTTAACCATGTGATGCCAGAATTGGCATACACATATTTATTTTCTATCTTTTAAAATATCCTTAATTACTTAAGCTTATTTTTATTAATGGAAGAATTACTTTTAAAATAAATCAAAAACTTAATCTTTTTAAACGAACATAAAATATTTATTTCTTCTCTTCCAGATCAATGTAACGGATACTTTCTTTTTATTTCATTATTATGCAGACATATAAATTCACTGTCGCCTCTAATCGAAAACAAAAATCTATTTTATAACTTTTTATTCTAATTTTCCAACGGCTAAATGTTTCGGTTGCATGGTTATAATATTTCACATAAATTTGTTGGCGACTCGTGATCGCCAAGGTGTTCTTTTTAACCCATGTGGACATGCTAGTTGGCTTTGTTTTTGGCTATGATATATTATGATAAATCGCCAAATTTTGGATCTCCTACCCATACTCTTTCTCTGTCCGTTGAGAATAAATATATTCACTTTTAATTTCAAATTGGTGGAGGCTGGGGGCCTTTGGGCCTCCCAGTCTTAATTTTCTAACGGTCAGAAATGTTGTTCTGGCTTTATGATCTCTCATTAGAGAGTATTCTTATTTCATCCCTTTAAGGGATTTCTTATTTTTTGAAGAAATGGCCATTTCATAATTTACAAAATTATGCTTAATAAAATCTAAATTTACATTCAACGATTTGTACATCATTTCCTGGAAACGTTATTGTTTTTATTCATTCAATATTGGCCAAAATGAACATTCATAATTCCACTATACATTAACCACGCCTAATGAGGGAAGCAGCAAGCTTTCATCATTACAAACCATTTTTATTTATATTCTATTGACAAAATTATATTTGTAGTTAAGTTCTGTAATGAAACATTTCCTGTCTACTCTAATAAAACATTTTGAAAAATGCATGTTGATATTTTCAGCGTTTGCACGAATCAAACTGATCATTCAATTTAAATAATACTTTATTCGCATCAAAAGTTATGAATGGAGGGAAAAAAACTGCTTCACTTTTGTAGGTTTACAAGGTCATTTTTAGCTGCTGATAAAACTGGGTAATCGCTTATAAGAGAGAATAAAACATGAAAGGTAAGCGTTATCATGCAACAGACCTTATCTTATTGTTATAAAAATTGTGGATCCAGAAATCGAAACAGCTGCGTGTGTCAATAAGATATGTCAAGTCCGGCGAAGAATGTACTATGCATTTTCAAAAGCGGCAAGAATAAAATTTCCTTTTGATTCAAGTGGATTTTCTAAGGTAGAGATGAGTCTTATAATTTTGGTGTTATTTTGATAAATCAATGATTAGATAGCAATATCAACTCACTTATACCTGTTTAAACCAATCAGTGATATCATCTTTCGTGAAATATTGACTGTCATTTCTTATTCAGTAGTGCAACTCGTAAAAACGTCATTTGCTTTGTATTAATGTTTTAAAGGAAATAAGATCTGTATTTCCGTTAAAATTGTCAAGATATTGCTGAATTTCATGCATGTAATCATTTCTTGTTTACTAGTGCAATCTCTGAAAGCGTCATTCGCTTTAAACTAATATTTTAAAGACTGTATTTCCGTTAATGTTGTCGAAATATTAGTTGTTGCATTTTATATTGCTTCAAAACTTCATTTGAACTGAGTTCATCACCATGTGGAATGAATCTGACGTCATAGCTCATGAGCTATGTAGCGTCGAAAGCGAGAACCAGGAGAATTCGGAAAGGGAACCTGCAGCGACGGATTCGATGTTCGTTATGGGAAAGTCGGCAATCGATGAACTCAGACGTGATGGGTTCACATTCACTTGGCGGATTGAAAACTTCAGCTCGTTTGGTAGAAAAACTGGCGAATACATCCAAAGCCCTACTTTTTTAGTAGAAAAGCTAGACAAAACTGAATGGTATTTGCGTTTGTACCCTAGAGGTGATGTTGATCATAATTATACAGCTTGTTACCTTTACAGAAAAAAGAATGACGAGGGACCATCAAAAATTGTCATAGGCTATAAAATATCTTTTATAACTGTAGATGGAACACCTAACTTATCAGGCCAGGTTGAAAAGCTTACATTTGCTAAGAACAAAGGTTTTGGCAATACTAAATTTATAAAACGAGACGAAATTTTAAAGAAGAAAAAGGCTTTCCTCCCCAAAGACACCTTAACTGTTCGATGCCATATGTGGAAATGCTTTTTTGAGAAATCAGTTGCAAAAGAATGTTTTGCTTCAACTAGGATAGATGTCGAGCGATGCTACTTAACATGGTCTGTGAAAAATTTTAGCGCCTGCGAATCGGGGGTAAAGCAAGAGGTTCCTTTTGTGCCTGCGTCAACCAAAGTACCGCCTTTAGACATTAAATGGTTTATAAATAAGGAAGATGGTACAATCAATATTGAGATTATACTCCGCGGAAAAAAAGTTTCAGTGACAACGTACGTAATCTGTAACATATCTATCCTCGATTCCAAAAGCAATAGTCAAGTTTTAGTTCAAAATGATCATTTTTTCGAACCTTACAAAGATGAACAGGTTTGGAGCTTGCCACCGTTGATTGAAAAAGAGGAATTGCTTTTAAACCGAGATCAGTACTTGTCAGATGATTCTTTATCTTTGACTTGCGAATTGGCAATATCACTTGGCGAAGAATCGTCCACAATCGAAGAGTCAAATTTCAAACCTTTCCCAGAAAACGATTCCAAACAGAATAAGAATATGGCAAACACATTAAAAAGTGATTTGTTGTCCCTTTACACAAACAAGAAATATTGTGATGTAACTCTTCAAAGTTCAAGTAAATCCTTCCCTGCCCATAAAGCAATTTTGTCTGCCAGATCCTTAGTATTGTCTACTATGATAGAAGATGAAAAAGGTGATGAAACTAGACATATTCTAAATATACCTGATATAGATGAGAACACTTTAAATGATATGTTGATATACATGTATTCTGAGAAATTAGATCATTTGAATTTAGAAAGTGCTATAAAATTGTATTGTGCTGCTGATAGGTACCAAGTACTCTCTTTGAAAGCCATCTGTACCGATTTTTTGAAATCTATTTTAACTCCATCAAGTGTTTGTCTCTTACTAGCACTTGCGGATGAACACAAAGACAACGATATGAAAAAGTATATTCAAGATTATATATGTAATAATGCAAGTGAAATTTTTCATTCGAAACTATGGAAGGAATTCATGGATAAGAAAGCAACTTTAGCAGGTGAAATTATGCATGGCGTCTTGAAAAAGAATTGAAAATCATCTTATCTGGAAGAAGGGATAATCTATCTAGATTAGGTAAATAACTTATTTACTAATTTTATTTGTGACTAATTTCAGTTTTATTTGAATACCCCATTTTCTAAATCTATGCAAGTTAAACAATACCTGGTGAACAAGTTACTTTTATGACTAATTTTAATTTTATTTCAATACCTCTTTAGCCAAATTGATAATTTAACAAGAAGTGAATAATTCACTAATTAATTTTAGTTTTCGGGGAATGCCTCACTGCATATTCGATAAAAATTTAACTAGAATACCTGATCAATTAAATTATTTGATTAATTTTAGTTTTATTTGAATGCTTTACTTGCCTAATCAATTAATGACTTATCGATTAGAAATTAACTAGGTTAAGGGAACAATTTAGCCTGGTCTATTTAGTTTGGTAACTTATCTTAGTTTTATTTAAATGCTTTATTTGCCAACCCGATTAACAGAATAAAAAAATAAAGACGGAACAAATAAGTAAAATTAGTTATTATTCAAGGGCTATATTTTTTTCATTAAGTGTTGTTAATACTTATTGATAGAGAAATTTATTTTGAATTGCCAGGTGTTCTACAAAGGCCTCCCTTAAAAGTATTTTTAAAATTCTCGTCAACAATGAAGATTACAAACCAACTTTAAAGCGATAGGGAAAAACCGCTATTGAAATTAGAAAAATTTCTATCTAGGAACGCGAGTGAACAGAAAATTAAAACTTGTTTAATTGCTGGTTCAAACTTGAGGGTATTTTGAATAATCACTTTTCAATTCCACTGTTTTCTATAAGGAATCTAAAAATATATTATCAAAGCAGTCACTTCTGAGCTCCCTGAACAAAATTCAAAATTACTCAAGTGCTTCAAAATCTATACATAATAATAAACGCGGCTGTGTGTGTGTCTGTTCGTTTGTCTGTCTGTCTGTAATCACAATATATCGCCCCAGAAGTCTCGCCCAGGCACGAAACTCGGCATATAATTGTGTTTTGACATAATGAAGAAGTATTTTTTTTCTTTTTCAAAAATTTGGATTGGTTTTTTAGTTATCAGTCATTTTGTAAGAAAATCTATGTTTTTTCGTCTTCAAAGAGCCATATTCAAAAAACTATTAAAAAATGCATATACTTTTCTCCACTCTTATAAATGTATGCTAATGCGAACCTTACAATTGAAATATTAATTTTCGACAACTTAAACCAATAATATACGAAGGAATTAATAATTTAATTGTAAGGTTATTCGCATTAGTTTACATTTATCAAAGTGGAGAAAAGTTTAACTTTTGTATTAAAAATGTGGCAACATATTCGATACGTAAATAGAACCAAAGAACTTACACGCTTCGTATACTTATACACTCCCTTATACAATCTTTGATAGAACGCTTCGCTTTGATATATTTGTCGCTGTACGCAGTGCTATAAGCGAAAGCAGAGAGCACGGCGCACTTTACTATACTCATCATACTCATACTTATTTGTCGCTGTTCACAATTGTTATAATAAGTTTTTCTTCTTCTTTCCACGCTCTATTTTTTTTTCTTAAGCGAAGACGATAATTTTTGTAGCGATATAGAAATTGATACCATAAAAAATTATATAGAAATAGAAATTGATACCATAAAAAATTAATTCGTTTTCGTGTTCTTTTCATGTATTTAGCATTTTAGTTTTTTTTTCTTAAGCGTTGTAGCTATATAATATATAAAAGCATATGATGCTACTAATCTTCAGATTTCCTGCTATGTTTTAAAAAACTTTATTTGTGAAAACCTTCAGCGTGACGGACAGCTGACCGCCTTAGGCGGCTAGTTAAAAAATAAATTTAAAAAAAAGCAAAATGGGAATTGAGGTGGTAGGGTAAAAAGTTTTATTTAGTGTTCCCTTTTGAGGCGGTATTTCAATTTTGGCAATACAAACTACTTTGGCTTCAAAAAAAAGTTCTACAATATAACTTATGCGTTAAATATAATGCAACGTATTATTTTATATTGAATTATTCCTCTGTTTTTTCAGCAATTGAGATAAGTTTCATTTCTTTTTATTTTGTTATTTCTCTCTCTATAAATTAAGATTACGGATTAGAGAAATATTTGTGTTGCTGGTAAAAGATGCTGGATTTGGAATGCTGGTAAAAGTGACATAATTACTATTGATAATCGCTGTTTATCTTAACAATAATCTGATTAAGAAAATAACCGGTATTTTCTACACTATTTTAATTTTTTCAAGAATAAAAGCCACTACCTTGTGTATACTTTCCGGTATTCTTTGCATTATTTTTTGAGATAAAGTGCCACTGCCTGGTTTACATTATTTGCCTAGCATTCCTTACGCTGATATTTTATGGTTGATTGCCACATCCCGGTATTGATTACTCTGAAGTTTTTTAAGGCTGAGTTCCATTGCCTGGTATGTACTTGACCAACGTTCCCAACACAAATGTTTGTTTTTTTTAAACTTTTTTCTAAAAACTTTTTTTAGGTTAAGTGACACTTTCTAGTATTCCTAACACAATTTAATCGGCTATTGTTATACGTTATATTAATTATTGATTATTAATGATAACTAAATGAGACCGTTAAAGTAAAATTTGTGCCTCATAAAGATATTGATTTACTTAATAAAAAATTGTATCATTTAATATTAAAAATTCTTCTTGATCATTAACTTAGAAACAATTTTTCTTAAAGAAAGCAATGTTCGCTTCACAAGCCAACTGTAGTAATCTAAAGAATAACCACCTAAACTGGGACGATTTTTTATTACCACTATTCAAATGGGAACTCCTCAAACACCACTAAACCATTTATTTAGTTTCAAACCTTTATTCGACAGCTGAATTAAAAAGAAATAATTTTATCCTTTTTATTCTTTTTGAACATTTACGCAAATATAAAGTGGTTTTGAAATTTTATATGTTCACCCATAACACGCCGCATTAACGTCTTTAAATTTTACTTGAATATGAAAATAATACTTACACACCTCATTTCAACGTTTTCTAATTGAGTGGATCTTTAAGATTTCGGATAGAAATTTTACTTTTTAAAATACAATCTTAATACATTGTTTCAACGCATGCAAACATTTAATTCTGCTTTAAAATAAATAAAATTAAAATGCATAATGAAATATGAATGCATCACTTATAGAAATTATTCCATCAATAGTTGTAATTCTGATGAATATATCAGAAAATAAATATTTTCCTTTAAATGTTTATTATTCAATATAATTATTTCTAATTTATGAATACCAAACTAAAAAGTAAAAAAACAGACGCATTTACCGCATTGTATGGGAGACAAGATATTATTTTCAATTTGCTTCATATTAAGTCAATTCAATATTAAGTCAATTTGCTTCAGTGACTACGAACTATAATTTTGACTTCCATAGAATAAAAAGGATACTTAAAAACTGTGCATTTAATAATGTCTTATTTTTACGTTTAACTATTTCAATTGGAAAATGGAAATTTTAATATTAAACACGCCAACATTTTAATCTATCTTTATAAATTTTATTATTAAATCATTCCTTGAGAGAAATTAAAATAAGTGTTTATGTATTTAAATTTATTTAGTGAATTAAAATTGAATTACATATATTTTCAATTTCATTTATTTTTATAAAGAATAATAAACATCTCAAGGATAAAATATTAAAATGCAATTATGGAATTTAAATATTTATTCTAACTAATGTTAAGATAAATAATATTGAACAAATTGTGCCAAATATAAATGATTCATTTCATTATTGGCAAATCTAATTGTTTCTATCTACATAAATGGAGATGTCGCTTTTAACTTTTGTAAGATAACTATACATCTTCCTGATTAGCGATTTTCTTTGTGCAATAATATTTATGTTTGTCAATCGCTGTTTTTAACTACAAAGCAAAATTATAAGAAAGGCTAGAAATTTGATCGAAGTAACCTTTCAGACAACTGGTACAATTTTTTTCTCCCAAAAGTAAAATGTTGATATTTTTTTCCCCGTTTGTATCCCTTTGCACAGCGATTTTCTATGAATGTAATTAGATTTACCCATGTCAGTCGCTGTTTTTAAATTCATTGAAAAATTATAATAAAGGTAAGAAACTCGATTCAAGTAACCCTTAAGACATTTTAATGGCATATAAATACACTCTATAACAAAAAAATCGAAGCACCAAGAAGGAGTTGTCCGATTGAAACAAAAATTGGGAGAAAGGAAGACAATGTACAGAATAGTAAATGATTAAAATTTCAGAACAATTGAATAATTTATTGCAGAGTTACAGTAACAAGTTCAATAAGGTGTTGACCCGCCTCTAGCCTGGATACAAGCTGCCACACGGCGCGGCATTGACCGATAAAGCTCTCGGATGGTCTCTTGCGGTATTTCCTGCCAAATTCGATCCAATTGTCGAACGAGGTCATCAACATTCTGTGCCAGATGCAATCGCTTTCCCATCATATCCCAGACATGCTCGATGGGAGAGAGATCTGGTGATCTGGCAGGCCAAAGAAGAGTTTGACAAGCTTGCAGACAGTTCATAGCAACACGTGCCGTATGTGGTCTGGCATTGTCCAGCTGAAAACCCAGCCCAGGGTGCTGCAAAAGGAACGGTAGCAAAACAGTTCTTTGGATGTCGTCGACGCACCGCTGTGCGGTAAATGTACCTCTAATGACGACCAAAGGGGTCCGGTTGTCAAAGGAAATGGCACCACAGAACATAATGCCTTGTTGAGGGCCTGTGTTGCGTGCAATAGTGAATGCAGGATCCCCCCTCTACCCTGTGCGTCTTCAAACACGTCTTCGATGATCGTCAGGACACAGTTGGAAGCGGGATTCGTCGCTAAAGACTATACGTCCCCAGTCGGCATCATTCCAACCATATCTGTTCAAAAAATTCATGCATACGAAATTTCAAAGCAATCGAATGATTGCTTCTTGGTGCGTTGATTTTTTTGTTATAGAGTGTACCTTGTTATTTGAGCATAGTTGATTTAGTTTCATGATTAAAATGTGAAGAAAT